CTCCCTGCCGAGCAGGGAGCCCGATGCGGGACTCGATCCCGGGACTCCAGGATCATGACCTGAGCCGAAGGCAGTCGCTTAACCAACTGAGCCACCCAGGCGCCCTCCCCAGTATTTAAAGACTCATCAGATTCTTGATCTCGGGGTCGTGAGTTCAAGCCCCATAGAATAGAGCTTATAAAAAAAAAATAGGATGCCTGGGTGGCTCAGTTGGTTAAGCGTCTGCCTTCGGCTCAGGTCATGATCCCAGGGTCCTTGGGATTGGGTCCCAGGTCAGGCTCCCTGCTCAGCAGGGAGTCTGCTTCTTCCTCTCCCTCAGCCCCTCTTCCCCACTTGTGCTCTCTCTCTCACTCAAATTTTTTTTAAAAATCTTTAAAATATTTAAAAAATTTAAAAATTAAAAAAATACTCATTGGAAAAGCTGAGATAGGTAGTAATATAAACAAATGTGATTTTAAAATATTTTGTAATGAAATCTGGCAACACTTGGAAGATCTGCAAGTTATCAGTGAAATGATATTTTCTAAATGACTAGTGCATAATGTTATACAATCATGTGCAGGTAAAAGATCCATTCAAAGTACAAGATCGACAAGTGCATTTTATTGTAACCCCATATGAAAAATTTGGGGGATGTTTTCACATTTCACATTGCAACTAACCTTTAAGAAGCTACTATTAGTTGAGTCTTGGTGTGGTATCAAATAATAGCTATAATTATCTAAAAAGGCTATTGAAATACTCCTCCACTTTCTTACTACATATCTGCATGAAGTCTTATTTTTTTCGCATATTTCAGCCAAAGTGAGGAATCACACAGATTGAATGCAGAAGCATCTGAGCATCCAGCTATCTTCTATTAAGCCAGACATTAAAGAGATTTGCAAAAATGTAAAACAGTGCCTGTTTTCTCACTTTTTGTTGTTGTTGTTTTGGAAAAGAAAGTTCTTAAAAAGAAAACAATGCTATTTATTTTGACAGGTGATGGATCTAGTGTCGTCTTTTTAAATGAATTAATATGTTTAAAACTGTCCGTTTTTAATTTCTGATACAGTAGATATTGATAGCCATAACCCACATAAATAAAAGCTTCTGGAGGTCCTTAATGATTTTTAAGAGGGCAGAGGGGTCTTCAGAACTGCTGTTATGTAACATCACAAGGGAAGGGGTGCATTTTTGATAATGGCCCCATCTCCAAAGTGGCAAAGGCTATTTTTTCAAGGGCCATTTATAATATTTGCTCACAAAGGAGTCTTTTTAAGATTTGGAATGTTTTTCCATTAAGTTTTCCACATTTTGGTCAAGAATGTAAGTGGGTTGATTAGTTTTTCATCTGTTTTGAATTTGCTTTTAGCTGTTGTCAAAAAAGTCCATGCTGGGGCAATCCACGTGATGGGAGCGGTAGAGTGTGGCGTCACTAGGGATGTTTTAACATTTTTAAAAATTTTACTTGTGACAACATTTTATTTCATTTCATTATTTTTTTAAGTAAGCTCTACACCCAGCATAGTGCTCAAACTCACACAACCCCGAGATCAAGAATTGCACACTCCACCCGCTAAGCCAGCCAGACGCCCAAGAGATGTTTTATTTTTTTATTTTTATTTTTTATTTTTTAAAGATTTTATTTATTTGACAGGGAGAGACACAGCGAGAGAGGGAACACAAGCAGGGGGAGTGGGAAAGGGAGAAGCAGGCTGCCCGCGGAGCAGGGAGCCCGATGTGGGGCTCGATCCCAGGACCCTGGGATCACGACCTGAGCCGAAGGCAGATGCTTAACGAGTGAGCCACCCAGGCACCCCAAGAGATGTTTTAATACAGCATAAAAAGAATGATATTATGGGGCGCCTGGGTGGCTCAGTCGTTGGGCGTCTGCCTTCGGCTCAGGTCATGATCCCAATCGAGCCCCGCATCGGGCTCCCTGCTCGGCGGGAAGCCTGCTTCTCCCTCTCCCACTGCCCCTGCTTGTGTTCCCTCTCTCGCTGTGTCTCTCTCTGTCAAATAAATAAATAAAATCTTTAAAAAAAATAAAATAGGGGCACCTGGGTGGCTCAGTTGGTTAAGCGACTGCCTTCGGCTCAGGTCATGATCCTGGAGTCCCGGGATTGAGTCCCGCATCAGGCTCCCTGCTCGGCAGGGAGTCTGCTTCTCCCTCTGACCCTCCTCCCTCTCATGCTCTCTGTCTCTCATTCTCTCTCAAATAAATAAATAAAATCTTTAAAAAAAATAAAATAAAATAAAATAAATTAAAAAATAAAAAAAAGAATGATATTATATTGACAAACAAGTACTAGTTTATTTGTTGCTACTGAGTAAAGTTTTTAGTATTAAGATCTTCTATCTTATTTTGACCTTATTTTAGTGCTTTATTACAGCTTGCAGAATGTTCCTGAATACAGATAACTTTATTGAAAACATATTGTTGGTTGGGGGCCAGTAATTTTTAAGGTAGACTCAATTCAAATGTAGATTTTTTTAAAAAAAGTTTTGGTATCAAAAGCTGTTGCTCTGTATTCTATACATCAAGGCTAAAAAAAAAAATCGCATATTCATAGGGAAAAATATGTAGTGAGATTATCAGCAGGACAATCTAAGAGCAGATGGTGTTAACAAGTTTTCAAGGAAACCCTATAACTACTGAAAACAGTAAGGTTCTGGAGATGGGAGATGAAACAGACGACTCTCAAATGGAGGGAGGGGTCTGGAAAGGAGTTTTTAAATAAATAGGATCTATGAAATTGGTTAGCAAAGGGTTACCAACCAGCCCAGAGCTTTAAAGAAGCCTTGCTCTAAATAGCTAGGAATGGTTTGTAATCATTACTTGAATTGTTTGTATATTTGTTCTCTCAAGTAGTTTGAAGTGACCTACAGTCTTGTTTACACTATTAATTTGCTTGACAACCCCTGTCTTTACAGAGGACATAAATAAATCACCTTCCTGACTAGTGTTCCTTGAAGTGGAACCTAGATGTCCGTGGAATATATTATTGGGGACCAAGAATCAACGAATACCTTAAATAGTTGTCCCTTGTTTTTTATGATAATGTAAACAATTACTGGATTTAAAGACATTCTACAGTAATTCTTTTTCATGAGAAAAATATTCCAGGAAAATAAAACCTTAGTTTCTAAAACTGTCCTGTGGGCCTGGGCGGGCGTAAGGTTGAGGAAATGAGTTTTCTTCAAGAAGAGAATTTCTGACGTTGGAGACAAAGTGCTTTTGGCTCTGCAGGGTGCCCACTCCCACCCAAGGTAGACTTCTAGGGAGCTCTGTGTACTCATTTTCTGGTTTGCATAGCTTTGAATGGAATACAGGATGAAAGCACGAGGACAGGTAAAAGGTGGGAGGTGCTAGGTTTTAAAACCAAGCTGAAGGATGGCACCAAGTGTGTCCTATAGGATCGCACAACACCTGTGATAGGATTAAACTGTGGCTTTGTATTTTTTAGACTTGATTTGACTCTCCATTTTCCCGTGATCCTCATGACTGAGTTGTGAAATTAGGCAGGCACTGATTCTGCATCTTTAGGCAAATGACTACACTCTGCTCGGTTTGGTGGCCCCCGGTGGTGAAGTCCCAGGGTGGGGCCAGAACCTGCATTTCTCTATTCCTGCTCTCTTCCCGGGGACAGCACTCGGTCCATCGTTCTCTGGAGGCAGTTCTCCCTTCCTTGCAATGTCGCGCTGACACTCCCCTAGCTTTCCCAGGCCTTTCTGGGCTCTCCCTCCTGGGCCAGGCCCTCTTGACTAATTCAGTGCAAAGCTGCTGCCGACTTTGCTGACCCTCTCCTGGGATCCCTGGGTGCTGCTTCAGATCCACCAGCTCACAGGCCTCCCTCCTTGAGCTCCCAGCAGATCTCTGTTTCCAGCTCCCTTCCGGACATGTCACTCCCTCACGCAACGTGTCACTTCACCCCAAACTGCTGCCCATCGACTCTCTAGTCCCCAGAGCCAGAGGCAGGGAGGCCCCCAGAATCCTGCCTCTCCCTCATATTCCTTTCCAGTCTCCTTCTGCAATCGGCCGCTAAGACTAGTTGATTCTAGTTGTTACGGGTCTGGACGTCCTTCCCTCTCCTCCTGTTTTCTCTCATCTGGACTAAGGAGCTATCTCCTGACTTCCACCTCCTGGCGATTGGAAACATGTCTGTGGGTGTGCCCCTCTCCTTGCAAATTCAGCAGCTCACGTGTGCGCACTGGACAGGCTGAGCTCCTTTGCTCGTTGTTTGAGGCCTGGGGTGATGGGCAGGGACTTTTTCCAGTTTCTTACCCACCACCATCCTTCCCTTGAGCCCTCCCCCCCACCTTCGCTCCAGAGGGACAAGTCTCGTCCCCCCCCTCCGATCCTCAGATTCCTGGATGTGTCCCCACTTTTGCAGTAGCTGTTGCTGGAATACCCACCCCCTCTCATTCTTCCAGGCTAGGAACCTCCAGGCACTCTGCAAGAAGGGGCTCTATTTCCGTTCATTTCGGTTCCCCGGCTCCTTTCCTGGCCCACAGTGTGGGTTTGATAAATGTTCAAATGTTTGAATAAGGTCCGCATGAGTCATTTTATTTATCTGTTTGAAGAAAGCAGTATTTTGTAACTCTTCTTGTTCCCATTTGCTTGCCCCAACTTACAGTGAGCTGTTTTGAATAACTCAGAGATAACAGGTAAGGTGCTGGCAAGCAGGACTGAGTTGATGTGAGTGTTTCACCTCTCAGTTTTTGGAATCTGGAAAAGATATTTTCCTTTGCACCAGGACATTAACTATATCCCCAAACCATGTTTCTAACATGAACGAATGGGTCAGAGTTCAGTACCCCAGACAGTTTTCAAACCAAATTTGGTAATGTTGATTTAAAACTGCTCAACAAGAAAAGCACCCAGTACAATCATGGAAAATATTAGAACGGCTTTCTACACAGCGACATATTGTTGAGAGAATTGTTCACTGAAATTATATTAATCACAGAGAAGGATTATAAGCTCTCTCTCTCTCTCTGTTTGTTTTTTTAAACAGGATCAATTTGACAACTTAGAAAAACACACACAGTGGGGAATTGACATTCTTGAGAAATACATCAAATTTGTAAAGGAAAGGACAGAGATCGAACTCAGCTATGCAAAGCAACTCAGGTAAGTTGATATTGAAAAAGGTTATTTGTTAACTGCAAAATGGATGTAACAATAATTTATATTCTCATTTATACTGTGAATATATAATCCTTTAAATATTTTCCCCTTTTATGTAAGGTGATATTTCAATTAGAAACCATTGCTTTTGATAGAGAAGATTCATTTCCATAGAACAATAAAAATAAAAACTGAGTTACTGCCCTTAGGCTCTGGGTTTTTGTTTTGTTTTGTTTTTTGAAGGATAGTTTCTGAACTTTGGAGCTACTTATTTTTTTTTTCAGAAAACTCTTAATTGAAATATAATATATAGAGAGAGAAAAGTACACATTAAAAGTGTTCAGCCCCAGAAATCTTCACAGAGTGAACACCCCCCTGTGTCACCAGTACCCAGATGGAGAGACAGGCAAACCCAGCCCCAGAGGCCCCTGGCCCCTTCCGGTGCTCCACCCTCCCATGGCGGTCCACTCTTCTGACTTCGAATGACATGGACAGTCTTGCCTGTTTTTGAACCTCATCTGAATGTATTGACTTCTTAGGCACTGTTTGTATTTGACTTCTTTTGTTCTACATTATGTTTGGGAGATTCATTCATGTGGCTGTATATGGTGGTGGCTTGTTTCTTTTCACTGGTGGTTGGTGTTTGGGTGTGTGAGTATACCACAGTTCACCCATTCCTCTGCCACTAGGCGATTGCTTGTCTCCTGTTTGGGGATATGAAGTCTGTCTACACCCAGGAGTGGAACTGTGGGGTCATAGGTGTTAGCTTTAAGTAGACAGCTTTCCAAAATGCTTCTCCGGATCTGAGTTCCGTCCAGCAGCCCGTTAAGAGCCCTGTGGAGCAGCATTTTAAAAGTGCTTGGACTGCTTACATCTTTAATGATGAAATTATCCAAGAAATTTTGCTTTTAGATAAAATATGTAAAAGTTGTTGGTAGAACAAAGCTGGAACTTGCCGTGGCAGGCACAGACTTTAATGATTTCTTGTTTGGTTGAATTGGTTGGTGCAGATTGTTTTAAGACCTGTTAAAGATCCAGATGACTTTTGGTATATAGAAACATTTCGTTTGAACCCAAAGAGCGTCTGCAGGAGGGTTATGTCAGGTGTCACTGAGAGAAGATGGATTCTTTTAGAGCTGGTGTTGTTTATAAATAAGCACCTGAGTGGTACATCTGGATTGTTTTTATGGATGACAAGTTTTGTTTCTATTGAGTAAAGAAAACATAAAACATATTGCTCAGTGAAGTAACTGTAACCGTTATGACTTGCTGAATCCAGATTGATTTCTGGCACTTTGTGTATCAGCCTCACATCCTGAATGTGGCAGTAGGGAAGGGGCTGCTTCATGCTGATTATCTAAATATCGCACTGTTCGTCATAAAATGTCTTTGGTGTGAAAATGGGTTACATACATCCTTAGCCAAAATACGGTCTCACCTTATGGATTTATCTGTTTGTTGCCTTTCTTTTTGTATTAGCTTACACTTGTCTTCCCTGGCACCTTTGTCATGATCCTGTTTTGTTTGGGAGGTTTATGATTAGATGCCATTAATTCAGCACTTAGCAAGTATCTGCTTGGTTCTGTGTCATGAAGGGAAAGGGCTTTCTTAGCTCCCCCTCTGGATTGCACCTGGCTTCTTGCCCTTTCTCATCACCCTAGGTGAGGGACAGAGGATGCAAGTAACAAAATGGGAGGCTGTTGGAAAAGAATGCAAATTCCAGTGTGGGTTTAGGGTAAAATACGATGGCTCTCCATTGACTGTTTTACCCTCTTGTGGATCACAAGTTGAAACAGAGGATCAGTATCAGGGATCTGATGGCAATCTCTTGAGAAGTACTTTTCCTGAGATCTAAATACATATTTAGTAGACTCTACGCCCAACATGGGGCTCAAACTTACAACCCCTAGATCAAGAGTCCCGTGTTCCACTGACGGAGCCAGACAGGCGCCCCCTGAGATTTAACTATTAACATTGTTTCATTACATCCCTAAGAGGTATCTCAATTTATACTTGTTGGGAGAAGTTGATGTACAAGATCAGGAGTAATTGAACAAATGCCTTCAAGACCATTACTAACCCTTCAGACTGGTCTTCTCCTCCTTGATACTGAGCCCTCAGCCAGGTCCTCAATGCCGATACATAAGCATCCTTTCTATCCTTTGTCGATTTGCTGCCCCACTCACCAAAGTGACTCAGTTTCTCCTTTCTGCAAACCCAGCATCTCCTTTCCCCCTTTCCCATCCTCACCACTTGCTTGCTATGTTACTGAGAGCATGGAAGCAGTCAGAAGAGAATGTCTGCAGACTCTCAGCATCTGTGCCCCCCACCCCGAGATGCTTCTGTCTAAATCCAGGCCCCCCTTTTATGCACTCGGTGTCCCCCCTCCCTCTGGCTCTGGAACTCAGCCCCAGTGGTTCTCTCTCCCATGTCCTCAGTTCTTCGTTCCCTGCTGGGTTATTATCCCCATCGACACACAAGCACACCCTCATTCAAAAACAAACTTCCCTGAGGTGGTTCTCCCCACCAGTGCCACCATGTCGTTGTTCCCCGTTGCAGCCAAACTTCTCAAAAGTGTTCTTACTTGCTGTCTCCAATCCCTCTCCTCTCACTACCTTAGACTCACCGCACACCACTCAGCCAGAATACCCTTCCAGGCCCCTGTGACTTCTGTATGGTTCAACCCAATCACCTGTCCTCAATCCGGCGTCCTTGACCCATCAGCAGCTTTGATGGGGTGGATGCTTCCTCCTCCTTGCATGGCCTCTGTAATTCTAGTCTTCTGGCTTCCTTCCTACTTCACTTTGAGCTCCTTCTCAGCCCGCTCGCTGGGTCCTCCTTTGCCTTTGCCTCTTTACCCGATGTGCCCTGGTGCCCAATCCCTGTCATCTCCCCCTCTCGATCTGTATTCCCTTGGTGATCTCATCTGGCTTTAAGTATGATCCACGTGACAATGGCTCACAGGTATGTACCTCCAAGCTAGACCACTGTCCTGGACTCTGACACAGATTATGCATTATCTCCTAAAACCTATTTGAAATAGAAAGTGTCTGAAACCGAATCTGTCCGCTTAAAATCTGCATCTGCACAGCCCAGCTTTTCCCCACACATTTGAGAGCTGCTCCCTCCTTCCTTGTTAGGTCAGAAACTCTGTTCCTTATTCAGTCAGAAGTCCCCTCTTTCTCAGCCACTACCCCACCCCCATCCCCAATCTAAGCCATCAGGAAGTCCCGGTGACTGTACTTTGCAAATTTACCCAAGATCTGACCCCTTCTCATGACCTCTACCTCAGCCACTGTGCTCTAGTCTCCATCACCTTTCACCTGGGTTATTATGAGGCTTCTAACTGGTTCCTCTTATTCCCTCCTTATCCCCTCTTGTCTGTCTGTGTTCCACAAAGCAGCTAGATCATGGCACTCTGTTCAAAATTCCAACTCTCCATTTCACTCCGTAAATCCAGAATCCTTACTGTGGATGTCCTACAAAGCCCTATGTGATCATATCCCCCAACCTTTCTGACGTCCTCTCTTTCCTCCTTCTCCCTCCTCTCGGCTCTAACTGTACCAGCCTCCTTGCTGTTTCTCACACACACGAGGCACGCTCTTGCCCCAGGGCTCGCCTTTCTGTATGGGTATCACCTCTATGTTCCTCGCATGCCCACCCTCTCGCCTCCCTTCAAGTCTTTGCTCAGATGTTAACTGCTCAGTGAGGCCTACCTCATCTTCCTGCTGTAGTTTACAGTCTTTCCGTAGCACTAATAACTTTCTAACATTCTTTACAATTTTCTTATATATCATATTTATTACTCATTGCCTTCCACTCCTCCCTGCTAGAATGGAAGCCCCTTAAGGGCAGGGGTTTTTGAGTTGTATTCACTGAAGTATCCCGGTAGTATGGAACAGTGCCTAATGCATAATAGGTACTCAGTAAATAGCTGTAGAGTGAATCGACAGGTCCCGTTCTAAGATGGTTGGTCCCCACTGCTCCGAGGAGAATCATGTGTTTGCCCAGCCTATGAGAGCTGATGAGGCTTACCAACAGAACAACCAACAGTGTGTCAACTGAGTGCCAGGGGAGCTCTAATGAACGAGACACCTTGGAGCTCACCTTCTCACTGTGGAAAACAGACCACATGCAAACAAGCAAAAAATTAAATCATTTAAAGATAGCATTTATCATCCCAGATAAGAAAAGCCAGTGATGTGATAGAGCATGATGGTGGGTGGGGGTTACTTAGCTAGACTGGCCAGGGAAAACCTGTTGCTGGAGAACCGAAGGACAAAGAGAGAGGGCCGGCATGCCAAGGTCTAGGGGTAGCTCTTCTAGGCCAAGGGATCAGCAAGTGCAAAGGTCCTGAGGTGGAAACATGTTCAAGGAATGGAAAGGCCAGGGTGACTGAAGCATGGTCAACAAATGCTTGCTTGAAATATCAGTATGATGTTGAAAAAGCAACGCTATCTTTTTGGAGAAGCTTCTGGCATTAAATCATTTTTATTTTTTTCGGCATTAGAGAAAAAAGAACACCAACTTATTTTAGAAGCAAAGGATGATCATTAGGGCTTTGATTTGTGTAGGTTTAGGGGTTGGCAAATTACAGCCTATGTCCCAATCCATCCACTGCCTAGTTTTATAAATAAAGTTATACAGAAACACGGCCACATCCATTCATTAATGTATTGTCTATGGCTGCTTCTGAAAACAATTGCAACTGACTAGCTAACGGGGACCACCTGAGCATGACCTACTTGCAAGTCTAAAATACTCTCCAGGGGCGCCTGGGTGGCTCAGTCGTTAAGCGTCTGCTTTCAGCTCAGGTCATGATCCCAGGGTCCTGGGATCGAGCTCCGCATTGGCCTCCCTGCTCCACAAGAAGCCTGCTTCTCCCTCTCCCACTCCCCTGCTTGTGTTCCTGCTCTCACTAACTCTCTCTCTCTGTCAAATAAATAAATAAAATCTTTAAAAAAATAAAATAAAATAAAATACTTACTCTCCGACCCTTTACA